CCCCAAAACCCCAAAACCCCAAAACCCCAAAACCCCAAAACCCCAAAACCCCGTATTTTATAGTTAAAATTGAATTTTTAAAAGTATGAAGAACTCAAGAAGAGATTATGAATTTAACTTAGAAACGAGTAAGAAGTCAATGTTTCGAGAATGTGTCAATTGAGGGCAGGAAGCATTGGATGAAAGTAAGTATAACATTTGTTTTATGCCATTAAGATTTTATGGAGCATCTTATTTTCTGAATTTTTAACTTCTTACAGGTAGGCTAAATGATAAGGAGCTAAACAAACGTAACCCTTATTTCTATTGACTTGAATGAGCAATGTCTTATAACAATAAAAGTCAATTGAAGATCGAAAATGACAGTAGCATTGACTATAATATTTCTTCTATGAATGGGCCAGATCCTGATCAGGTTCAAAGATCTCTCAATGACATTACCTTCAAATTCAATTCTCAAGTAAATAACATCAGAGGCAGTAAATATCTGAAATCAATGATTCAGGACGATGAAGCTTTAACTAATGATGAAAATTTGGAAGAAAGCAATGAAAATATTTTAAACTACTCTAAAAAGTTCAGAACAGATCGCACAGAAGATGATGATTCAGCAGAGATTAATATAGCCAATGAGGTAAATAAATCAGAATCTTTCGAGGAGTATAAGCCATCCTCTGAAGAACAGAAGCAGTCCTTTACTAGCTTTAATAGCTCAGTGCTTAAAGAAAGCCGACCTCGTGTTTATGAATATAATGACAACCTAAATCCGATGAAGAGTGCTGAAAATGACAAAATAATGAAGAAGAGTGCTGAGTTTACCTTTAGGAAGCTCAAAGCTGCTCTGAAGACCTCCTATGAAAACCCTACAGAAGGCTCTTCTATGCCATATTATAGCCAGAGGAGTCAGATTTATCCTAGGAATGCAGAAAGTGTTTTGTATGAAAGTGAACCTAGAAATCTAAACAGTCAAAATTTCAACGGATCTATTAGATCCCACAGAATTCAAAATAGTGAAATTTCTGGTGCGAAGGATTCTCAAAGAGGTCGCCCCAGATCTTACCGATCCGACTTCAAGAAATGCAGGTCAAAGAGTGAGATCAAGAAAGACTTTGAATTAATGCGGTCGAAGCTGTTGGACAAGGAGTCTGAAAGGATCACTCTTGAACAAGATTTTCAACGAAAGAATGCCCAATTTAAGTCTAAGGAAGAAAAATTAGAAGAAATTTTAGCAAAATTAAGAGGGAAAATCCATGAATTAACTAAAGTAAACACTGAGAAAGTCAGAGATATTTGAAAGAACCATGAAAGCGAACTGGAGAAATATAAGGATGGCTACCAGCATCAACTTGAAGAATCTATGAAGTTTCAAAATGAAAGGGAAAGGATCAATAGAAAAGCTAAGGAAAAGGAAGAACTCGCTAAGCAGCTTGAGAAAGAGTGCGAAGAAACCCAAGCTAATTACGAATCTCGAATGGATGGTAAGCAAATTATGCGATTTCTTTAGACATTAAGGAGAAAATCAATACTTTAAAGAAGAGAGTGTCTGAAATCCAATCTAAAACTAAGGTCACAAAGGCAGAAACGACTAGAGTTGAGAAGATGATAACCAAATTATGTAAAGCTTTACTTATTATGTTTTAGCTGAACGGAATTATGAGCTCACAAACCAAATGAAGAAGACTAATATATCAATAGAGCACTATTATAATGAGAATAATTTGCTTAATGATATTGTTGACAAGCTGAAAAGACTTGTTCAAGGGTCGAAGAGTCACCCACTAGAGTCTAATAGGAGCTCTGTGATTATTGAAGACAGCGAATCTCTACAGAAGAAAGTTAACAATATGAAGCGGTCTTGAAGCTGAAAGAAGATTGAAACTCCATTTGATAAATCAAAGCAACGCTGCAAGAGTAACAACTTGTATTATGATTCCTCATATGATTACCACGGGCTTGGTAGTCGGAACAATAAGAGTAGTATGATGGTGACTAATCTGAGAAGGATTAATGAGTCAATGAATCCAAAGATAATAGGATTGTCCAACTTTAATTCCTCTATCTGAAATAAATCAAACATCAAATCTGTGAAAGTTTATAACTTCAAGAGCCATGATAATGACTTGCAAAAGAAATTGAAGACTTCTAGAAAGACTAATAAGATTTCATCTGAAATGTTCAAGAAATTCTTAAAAAGCTATAAAGATAAAGGAAGGGTTAAATCAAGAGCTAACAAGCAAGGTTCAGGTTCACTAAGCAACTTCTTTAAAGCTAGCCTAAAATCTCCTCAGGGGAGTATGAAGATAGATTTGAAATGTAAATTCCCAAAGAACAAGGCCCATATGAACTTTTTCAAGCAGAAAATGTATGAATCAAGTTTGGAGTAATCCCACCCTCCCAAAAATTCTCCCTTTACATAAAATTTACATCTACCTAACACTCAACACAACTTCACAAAAATGGGGTTTTGGGGTTTTGGGGTTTTGGGGTTTTGGGG